ATTTCAGAGGTTTCAGTTTAAGGTCAGCTAAATCCTGTATATGTAAGACAAGATAGAATATTATGGTGTTATAAGCATTTGATAGAGACTGCTTACATTACAGTGTCTAAGAGGGGGTAAGAGGCTGAGGACCAAGGTATATCTTCCAGAGCACACCTTAGTGACCCCCTTCCATCATTCATTTATAGTACTACTCACCCCTAGTAAATACATTCTAATTTGGAAGTAAAGCATTTCTGAACAGATGGGAATGTTTTAAAATACTGAAGGGTAGGAAAAAAAGAAAGATATAAATAATATAATTACTTTCAGGAGATAGGCAGCAGGGAAGGTAAGAACTTCTGAACTTACCATTCAACATTTAATCTTTTTTAGCTTTAGCAGCAGAGTAAATAGAGTCAGAATCTGTGGGTTCTTTGGTTCCTCAACAATTGGAACTTTCTTCTTTGCTTAATATAGTCCCTGGGTATCTTTGTCAGCCCACTCCAACTCCTGTCTTAGCCCTATAGCTTCTTTGACATGTTCTAGGAATTAATTAGTAGGACTTCCAATTATAAATATTTTATGTAAAAATCAGGACGCTCTTTCCATTCCCCTTACAGTCATTACCTTCCTTGCCAATGATTTTGTTCTTTGGTTTCTTATGTCACGTGTCATATATATATATATATATGTTGATTTTTCCAGACAAGCTTCTCAAGACAGCCTTGACTGTCCTGGAACTCGCTCTGTAGACCAGGCTGGCCTCTAACCCTGAGATCTGTCTTCCTCTGCCTCTGTGGTGCTGGGATTAAAGGTGTGCCCCACCACCATACTAGCTCTTTACATTGCTGTTCTACCATGGCATAACATACTACTCACAGCCACTGGGGCCACTGGGGCTATTAAAGAATCCTGCCCCTCATATTACTTATGCTATATGGAGTAAGGGATTTTTCTGTACTTGCATATGAATATGAACACAAGATAATGGTTCTCTGTCAGGAGTAGTCATAGCCGTAGTTGTGTATGTCTCTATAGATCTGTTGTGGAACCGTATGTAGTTCTGCTAGAAAATTTCCAGTGTAGTATCTATGAGAAACATTTGAGATGTGTTACAACAAGGGTGTGTATGTGAATTATCTATGAAGAGATTTATTAAGTATTTTGTATTCAAGTTCACAAAACAAATTGATACAGAAGTACATATAATCTTACTGTGTGTGAAAGATACATGCACACATGTATTTAACTACAAGTGTGAAGAGTTATTTCCCCAAAGAATTTTGATGTGCTGTTCCCATTGTGATTTTTTTTCCTTTCTTGGCCAGATCTCAGATTTGGTTGCTATCTACACACTTTTACTAATTAATTGGTAGAACATAAATGGCATATGTAGCTTAGCATGATCTATAACAGTCCTGTCAGAACAACATGAATAACATTGGTAGTCTTGATTGGTCTAAAGAGATAGTGTCAAGACGGGCAATCACATCATGCCTGCTTGCATACACTGTATCTACTGCTGTTAGTCTTTAGCTGTAACTACCACAAGATTAAACAAAATTGGTAGGAAAAGATGGGCTCTTAGGCCTACTAAGAAAGTAATAGAGAGAAAAATTAGGAACCTAAATATCAGTGAATTCATTTGTTGAAATGATATGACAGGCTGTAGCAGTCAATAAGAAATTCACATGTATAAGTTATTTATGGATATTTACACTAAGAAAAAGAATCAAGAATATTAGTTGTATTATCTCTATTTTCCCTATACTAAGACTGCCTTCAATTGTGCTTAAGTTATTTTCCACCTGACCATTCTTCTACACATTCTAGAATTTAAAGTTCAGATGTGGTTTTGTATGTATACCTTTTCATTTGGGTGATTCTGTCCCATTTCTGTCTTTCAGTGGACATCCAATAGAATTAAATATCTCTTAGTTGTCCTTGTTTCTTTAGGATATGCTCAGATAATTATTGGGTGTGGCTCACTTCAGATAGAAGCATTCATCTAATGGATATTCTGAGTGAAAAGACTTTAGGAACACAGCAGAAGGCATCCTGGACTAGGAGATTGAGAGTAATCTTTACTAGTCACCACAATGACAATAGATTAACTTCTCTGAGTTCAGACTTTTCATCTCTACAATGAGAGTACTGAAAAAGATGGTGTCTAGGGACTCTACCAGTTCTAAAAATCTTCTTTTCCTACTTTGGAAGTCATAGGATTCTGTGTTGTTGGAGTTTTTCAAGAATGATCTTTCTATGGCCTTAACCAAGAACCATCATTGTCTTCTGGCTATTTTATCTCTGAGATACATATTTAAGTAATTAATGTTCATAAAATACTTGGAATACCCATTGGATAGATTGTCCTCCTGTCCTATGTGGTTCTATGTGATAGCATTCAAGTGTTCTGTAAATGAAATTATGGCTTTCTGTGATATGATTGAGGGATATTTATGAATCTCAGTGTCAAAGTAGTGCTTCGCTGAATCTGAGTACAAATATATTTTAAATGCATATTTAATCATTCTTTAATATAGATGTACGTATTTTAGGTTCAGGGATATAATGGCAATTATGATTACACTCATTATTTGCTATTGGACTCATTGCTAAGAGAGTGAAATCTAGTTAATTTTGATACTTCTAATTTATAGTGGGGTGATTGTACCTGAGTGAAGTTTATTTCTAAATGATATATGAGGAATGGTGTTAAGTAAATTGAAATAGATGATATTTCACAGACCATATTACTACTTAAAGTAATCATTTCATATGTCCTTTGGATAATGCTTATTTTCTCATGACAGATACAAGGGAAATAGCAACTTATTAAACCCCAAACCTAGAACTGAATGTAAATAAATGCTCACAATCATGTCTAACCCTTGGTGGGTTTCAAGTCTTTAAGGATGATGAAATGGGATGTATGGAAGCAGTTTTAGTTTTAGTTTTTTCTCACTTTGAAAAATCATTAAAATAATTCTATTTAACACCAAGTCTCTCAGAAATCTAGATTGAAAATTGACATATTGATTTTGATTGGTTTCTTTGACGCTTAATGATACTAGACAGCAGTATTTGTTCGTTTGTTAGGATTTTCTTATAGTCAGTTGATTAGGAGTAGAATGGTACCTCAAGGGAATTTGTAAGAAAGTGATCATCAACTGTATACTTCAGAAAGTTGTAAAACTATTACCCTGTTTTCTGTTCAGCAATGTTGAGGTGTCTCTGGGCAGATAACTACTAAAACACTTGTTCCTGTGGCTTGACACAAGTCTGGGCATCACTGGTCTCAGAAGGTGAAGCCACATTTGCAGTTATTGCTTTGTAGAATTGTCATAAGCATAAAAGCCCAAATCTCCTCTCTAAAATATACTTTTCCTACTAGATACAGCTAATATATTGCTAATTTTTGTTTATTATTTTGAAATGTCTGCATGTGCTTCAGATTTTGGAAATTTATTAGAAACCCATTCTTGAATGAGGCATTCCAAGCTGGATACATACATGTATACACACCTCTCTGTATACATGCTTGTCTGTGTGTGTTTATACATGCACTTTTCCTTCTTTCACGTTCAAACAACTTGCATTTACTGACTGTTTCTGAGGCCTTTTTACTAGACAATGTAGAGTTTTCCAATGTGAGATACTGACTATGGTATATTTGTATTTGTGAGTTTTTTTTTTAAATTGGCTGCTAAGTTGTTGATGAACATTCTTCCCTTTTTTAATCAAATATGTTTTGGCTGCTAAGATGTTGATGAATATTCTTCTCTTTGATTCATTTAAAGATTTCTGTGAGAGAGTTTTGTGTTGAGTACTAAAAGAAGTTTGAAATATAATTTAATTTTCTGGCTTTTTTTTGAGAAGTAGTTAATGTATGATAGAATAAAAAATTACACAGGAGGTAGTGATAGCTGATGTCAATTTAATATTTATAAGGTTTATGGATTCCTGGTCAGTGCTCAAAATAAACCTTGTCTTTCCAGATATTAATGTATATGTAAATACTACTTCTCCATCTATATTTCTATCTGATAGAAAATGGGTTTTTGCTTCCATAATGAACTAAATTTAAAAAAGGAGCTGTGATTATCATAGCTGCTTTCATGCTCTATTTCTGGTGTATTAAATGATGTGTTTGGGGATTTTTGAAAGTAGCTTCTTATTATAGAAACATTCATCTGTAGTTTGTTTGTTTGTTTTTATACAAAAAATCTTTTTAAGGGACTGAGTCTCAATCCTTAGAAACCAGGGACAATTTGGAAGAATCTCTGAAAGCCACAATTTTTGGCTGGAGGGATAAGTTTATTGTTCATTGTTTGGAAGTGAGTGTAAGAATAAATATGAGCTCTTTGTTGATGCAGTTATTGTTTTGAAAACCTAGTGACTTTTATAGAATTGGCGGTCTTCCTTAGTAAGTGTGCATTGATGGAGACATGATAATTTTATTTTTAGTAGAAATAGGTGTTAGGAAGGTAGGTATTTAGAGACAGCAACTTGCCCATATGAGAAGTAATATTTGTAGCTTATAAAGAAAGAGTTGTGCACAATGTTAATTTAATTTAACCTATTTTTACTTTTGAAAATTGCGTAGAAATTTTGTGAATTTATTTTGCTGCTTTCAACAAAAATGCAAAACCCCCCATCACTATGGGATTATTTACCACACAATTTTCAGGCAGTATTTTAAAACAATATAGATGAACACTTTATTTGACATTGCTTTCATGGAATACCTCAAGCTGCTTTTACAGCAGCTTCAATTTTTGGAACCTCTTTGACAGTCGCTAATCCCAAGAGGTTACTGGAGCGCTGCTGAGCCGTGGAGTGGTCCCTGCTGGACACCTGCTTGGCCAGCAGTGTCGGCCTTTCCTCTAGACAATTTGTGAGCTGTTTGGGGGCGGAGGAGGAGTAAGGGGGGTGAGCGGGAGGAGAAAAGGGGAAGAAGGGGAGGGCAGTGTTGAATTAGATTGTTGATAGCGTCCCTCCGAGGACTGCTAATAAGAGCACGCTATTCTGTACTTCTCTGCTGCAGAAGACAGAGATATTCGTGTTACCACAGCATGTTGTAGATGTAGGAGGTTTTGCTCATCCCGGCTTGGAAATAAAAATAGGGAAAGGAGTGCAACTTGAATCAGAAGCTACTAGAAGAGTGCGCAGAGTTCTTCAGCAGTTTATATTTGCTCTGACATTTTGCTTTCTTCTAACTGGAAAACAGAGGACCTGGCATTTTTTAAATGGGCTTTTCCCATAATGGCATTCTTGTATTGTGTGGCCAGAGCTTGCACAGGAGGAAAGCAGGCTGCTGAATTTAGTCACTGATCTCTATTAGCTGTGGCCTAAGGCTATGCTGAGGTTTATATCCCATTTGTATTGTTGCAGCTCAAAAGAAGAATGTTCAGAGGATGACAAATGTATTCTGAGTAGGTATGTTGTTTCATTCTTATATGAAACCCATCTATTTTTTTTCCTGCTACTATTGGTCAGAAATCAGGTTAATAGGTGCAGAACATAGTACAATGCTGCAGTATCCCTGTTAAGGTAGAACAATGGTATTGCAAGCTTTTTTTTTTGTAAGCACCATAGCTGCTTTTATTAAGTAAAGCTGCATTGTGTACTATGCACAGTACAGTGTACACACACACACACACACACACACACACACACACACACACACACACACACTGCAATCAACACTTTCCTAACGAGGTGGCACTATTGTTGAGTTGGAAGGATAGAATCATCTTATTGCTTTAGGGGACAGGAGGATTTAAAGGAGGTACCTTGCAGTCCTATTGTACAGATTGGAGGCGTCGGTTTAAGGGCACTGGCAGAATCTTTCGCTTGTTCTCCGCGGCTGCTGTGTCAGTACACTGTGGAATGGAAGTCCTAGTTGGTAGTCTGTTATGGAAACGCTGTTTATTGTAGTACCGTGGTGACAACATGCCATTGAAATGGAAAACGAGCTCTCCTGCTATCTGGAAATTCCCAGTTCCTGTGCTTAAAACATCCAGGTCAACTCCACTTTCTCCAGCATACATGTAAGTGAGAGAAAATAGGATGTTAAAGTGGGATTTCATTCATGAGTCTGCTGTGTGGCAAAACGTGGGAGGGGGATTGCAAATAGCAACATCCCCCAACTGACAAGATTGAGAGAAAAAAACCAAAAAAACAAAACAACAATAAACATCCTCAAGCTTGCTTGTGTTTAAAGATGCTGGCATGCCTACATTACCATTGTTTTTGTTTCCTGGAGTTTATTTTTATTTAAAGTGTTAAATGCAAATCTAATCATTACTATGAAGGTATAGCCAAGGGATTGTATAAGGAAACTTTAATGTTTAACATGAGATTTTTGGAATTTTTATGTATCTGAACTACAGTGATTTCTTTTGTGTGATGACTTAAAATCTGCTGATGTTTAATGTTTGTGATATGTGAAGTATGGAAATGTTTTGTGTATTATTTTGGAAGAATTTGAAACATTCATAGTTCATCAAATGAGTCTTCCAGCCAAGACATTTACTTTCTAGTTCTTTATAAATATTAATGAATGAGTAATATTGCATCTTTCTTACTTTTCATTCAAGTTGTGATAAGTTCAAATTTGGATGGCTTTTACTTCTATGGGTAGTTACTTATATATTCAGAGGTTGAAAATAGTATTCTACAAACAGCTGTTCTAGAAATGTATTTTAAGTAAATATAGAAATGCATTGGAAAATCTGTTTGGAATTTTCAAAAATACATAAAATGTAGCTTTAAAAACAAAATCCAGGAGATATGATGAACTGTTCTTTTGAAGTATTGTTTAGAATCCTTTTCTTCTAGAGGAGGAATGAGCAAAGGAAAGCCGAATCTTTTTAAAAAACAATATTAGTAAGAAGGATATCTTTTGATTAATAAGGGTGTTTGAACTCTGAATGTTCCCTTGAAAATATTTTTAGCAGTCAGAATGTGGGAATTCTTCTTGCTTTAGGTGAAATGTGTGTTTAGAAGTCTGTTGTGAGTTGCCATTTTTAAACTAAGTTTCATGTGAGACTCTGATACACATTGTCCAGGTCCCTGGAAAGGTGTTCAGCTTTCACTGTAACTGAACTGATTCCCTAGAAAGCACTGAAGAAATGAGGCCATTTCAGAATCATTTTGAGATTGTTTTTCATGATCCGCCTTGTTTGTGTTCTGAGTTATTTTATCTGATTGTATAGTAAACTCCTTTTCTGTCATGAAGTGAAATAATTTAGGTGATGTTTGTGAAAATACAACAGCTATGTTTGTTTTTCGGATGCTGTATTTCGCAAAAGCACAAACTAATGGGAGGTGACAATTAGTGAAGCTCCCTCCAATTATTTGAGAAATAGGCAGAATAGCTTCCTGCCTTTGTGAATCTTAACTAATGAGAAATGATTAAATGTATACCAAAAGCAACTTGACTATAAACAAAACAAGGCCCTGCAAAGATCACTAGGTTACAATAAATAATAATAATAATAGTAATGTTTATAGTATTTTCTTTACTATATTTCACTGTTCAAATGATTAAAATTGTACCCCTTTTGTAGCTGGTTGGCCCATTTTAGAGATGTTATAGATATAAAATATATGCCCATATTTTTATTAATTCTTACTAGCCAGGAGCTCAGATACAAGGTAATACAACATTTTTAGTGAATGTCATTCTTTCCTTCAAGAATTCATTTATCTGTTTGACCTGGTTTACAAGGGAAAAACTAGAAAATACTGTGATCTTACATGGTGAATGCTATTTACTAGTAGTATACATAGATGGAAAGATATGTTTGAAGAGCTAAAGGTTAGGCTAGACTATTTTGATCCCAGCTTATTTTTCTTTATAAATACATTACTACTAAATATTAAGTGAATATACATGAGAGAAAAATGTTTGATATGGAAAAGACTCACTTGGGGAGTCTGTAAGTTCTTTACCTTTTAACTTTTAGATTACAATTCATTGATTCATTTGGCCCCAAATAAGAAAACATATTGTTTACGATGTTATTGCCATCAATGCTTTATACTCTACAACCTTTTTGTACACAAAATGATGTTTAAGTTTAGCATAAAATTTTAATTTAATTTAATTTAGTCTTCAAATTATCAAAACTAAGTTGGACTACTGGATCAGGTGCCAATATTTGTTCTTAGACTTGTTTAACTGGCAAATGAATCTTGGGTTTTGTTGCTGTTTCTCTTGAAGCTTTTTGCATTGGTATATTGTGATCTGTTGGAAATTGATCTGTAAAATCATGTCTTAGAATTCCAGGTGATATTTTGAGTAATCTAGCGTCTAGAATTATTCACCGTTGTTGTACAATCTTCTTGTAATGCGTGCTTGTGCAGCACAACCAATGCTTTACACTGTTCTATCATTACGTACTGTGATTTGTCTAACACATATTACATGACTTTGATTGGAAGCAAGTATTTTCTCAAAGATTTGCCCAAATCAGGTGTCTTAGTTGTAGTGCAAATGTACTGTAGGAATTCAGCGGGTATACCAAAATGTGAAGGCTCTAACATGATCTTCCCAAACCCAGTCTCAGTGCTGTTTAGGTCCAGCTTGGCTTTTGATGTTGTAGACACGTGAAGGCTGCTATGCTAGCATCAGCTACAGTACAGAACATTTAATTCATTGGAAATTTTGAACAGAAATATTAGTTTTGTTCTTTGTGGGTTTTACAGTTCAAGTTTGTTTACTTTTTTTTTTTTTAGATAGTTGAAATGTCTCAATATTTTCAAGAGTTTGAGGTAATAGTGACTATGGCACCCTTTAGGAAAATTGTTTTATGTAGCATAAAATACATTTTTTGATTATGTTGTAGTGTGTTAGGGGGAGAGAAGAGATTTAGGATAATTTTTTGGCCCTGTTTACTGAATAGACATAGTCTTCCTCCATCTTCAGGCTTGAACATGTGCAGAGTGGCATGCCATCCGTCTGGATTTCTGAAAGGATTGTCTTAATAGAAACTGAGTCCTTGGTGACATGTTTGTGCTACCCGGCTGTTCAACAATAGGTTGAAGTTCAACCTTAGCCTCAGGGAGATTCTCCTGGTCAGTGGAAACTGCATTAGTAAAGACTCCACTTTTGACAGGTGCAAACCATATAAATTCCCCTGTCATTTGGCTTAAATTAATAAAGCTGAAAGGGCAACCACATCTAAGTGGTTTGCCAGTGTTTTGATATTCATTGTTTTAAAACAGCAAATGGCTCCTTCAGGCCAACGTTATAGAATTAATGCATTGCTAGATTCCAAAGGCACACTGAAGCAGTATTAGTGCTAGCAATGTATTCTTCTTCCCAAACAGCAAGTTTGATTAGTAATAGAAGTATGGCAAGAAGGAGAAAATAATTAGGTAAGAATTAGATGATGCATTGTAACAGTGTATTCTAGCAAGATGGATACTATGAGATCTTTTCCTTAGATTTTTACCTTTCTCAGGCTAAAAGATGACAGATGTTAGTGAACTAATTTGAACCAGAATGAGTCTTGTCCTCCTTTTGTCTCCATAATTGTAATTAGTTAGCTTTCTGCTTTAAATTGGTTGAATATATAAACTATATTTTATAGTTAATGCCAACAGTGTAGTATTTCAAAGCAATTTCTTTAATCAATAAATTTCAGTCCTTAGATTAGCCGAGAAAAACATTTTGCATGCTGTGTTAATTTTCCCCATTTCTGGATGATTTAAAAGACAGATATAACAAAAAATGTATATTTTATACTTTTGGTATTTTCTTTCCCTTATTTCTCCTAAGATTGTCCTCTACTAATTCATGATAAAAGCCAAGACTTGTACTTTGAGAAGTCTTTCCCAGCTACTGAAATATTTAAAATAATCTCAAATTAAGAAAACAATATTTAGTTGCTTTTACAGTTAGCAAATAAACCTTTACTTGTATTCTGCTTGATTTGTTTTTACTACATAACAAAATTATGTCAATAAATAATAAAGCTAATACATTACAATAATTTGTGTTGCTGTGTAACTTATGTGGCATGGTTGGTAGGAATTTGCACTGTCTTAATTTGCAGAAGGTTTTCCTTATCTTTTATTAATAGAAAATCCCAGTGGCCTTTGAGATGACTTGGAGAACTCACAGTCCTTTTAATTAGTGCAGGAATCCCTTCTATGTTACTTCTCAAAGATGGTAGTCCATGTCCTCCTTGAAAATTGTCCCCAGAGCAGCACCTTCATTCATGAACAGCCCTTCCTTGTACAAAATCAGTTCCTCCTATTTTATTTCCTGATCCCAGTGGAGTCTCCTGGAGCTAGTAGAGTTACAATGTATTTCTTGAATACAGCCAAGCTTGGAAGCTGTCCCATGTGCCATGGTTTCTAGGCACTGCCTGCTTCTGTTGTCTTTACTCAGTAGTTCTATACTAAGTTGTGGATTGGGTACTGTGAGTGTGATGCAGTGTATGTAGTTAGTAGTTCTGTACTAAGTTGTGGATTGGGTACTGTGAGTGTGATGCAATGTATGTAGTTAGTATTTCTGTACTAAGTTGTGGATTGGGTACTGTGAGTGTGATGCAATGTATGTAGTTAGTATTTCTGTACTAAGTTATGGATTGGGTACTGTGAGTGTGATGCAGTGTATGTAGTTAGTAGTTCTGTACTAAGTTGTGGATTGGGTACTGTGAGTGTGATGCAGTGTATGTAGTCCCACTAGGAGAAGACAGCCCTTTCCTTTAGTGTTTTCAAAATTTTCTTTTTATAGGGTTATGATTAGACTACATCTCCTCCTTACCAACATTTACTCTGTTAGCTACTTAAGATATTTTAGCCTGGCATGTACAAGTAAAGTTAAAATTTTCTCATTAATCTCATAGTATATTTTTAAAAGAATTCTCAAAACCATTTAATGAACTTGGAAAATACTGCACATAAACAATGTATAAAAAGACAGCTATGTTTCTTTCACTTTCAGATATTTAAAAGAGTTTTACTTGCCAGAAATTCATCTTGATTCATTGTTTTTATTCTTAAAGGGATGCTGCTGCCCAGAACCCCTCCCTGC